TTATATGGGCCGATGAACCGGGGTGACAGCTTCTTGGACATGGCTTTGAGGGGAATGTCACGTGTTGATAACCATACCTCTTGGCCTACGGTATAGTCAGGGGCAGGACGTCGCTTAGAGTCAGCGAAGCGTTTTGTGGAGGCAGATGAGCGGTTGAGGGTGGTGATGGTGTCCTTCCAGATTCGCTGGCAACGGCGGATGTGGTGATGGGCTGATCTGACTGATATCTCTCTCTCGTCTGCAGGGAAGAGTGGAGGCTGATAACCGATGGAAACCTGGAACGGGGATAAACCAGTAGAAGCAGATCTTAAAGAGTTATGGGCGTATTCGATCCAGGTCAGAAACTGACTCCAGTCAGTAGGGTTGTTAGATGTCAGGCAGCGGAGAGTGGACTCTAGTTGTTGATTCATTCTCTCCGTCTGCCCGTTAGACTGTGGGTGATAACCAGAGGTGAGGGAGGACTTGCAGTTTAACGCAGAACAGAAAGCTTTCCAGATCTGTGAGATGAACTGAGGACCGCGATCAGAGAGGATCTCTTGTGGAATACCATGGAGTCGGAAAACATGCTTCACGAGAAGCTGGGCCGTCTGGAATGCAGTGGGAAGTTTCCTGAGGGGAATATAGTGACGGGCCTTGGAAAAACGGTCGACGATGGTTAAAATGGTGGACATACCTCTGGAAATTGGGAGACCTGTGACAAAATCTACGGCAATATGCGACCAAGGACGGGTTGGAACAGGTAGAGGATGCAGCAGGCCAGAAGGTGGTTGATGAGAGGTCTTGTTTCTGGCGCAGATGGGACATGCAAAAACATACTCCTTAACGTCTTTGTGAAGTGATGGCCACCAGAAACGTCTTGTAATGAGGGCAATCGTTCTGCTCACTCCAGGATGGGCGGAAAATTTAGCTGCATGCATCCACTGGATTAGTTGGGATCTGACGGAAGATGGAACATAAGTTTTATTTGGAGGGCCGTTACCTGGGTCAGGTTCAGAGGCTAGGGCAGAGTTGATGAGATCAGTGATCTCCCAGGAAACAACCCCAACAGTACAGGAGGCAGGAAGAACAGGCTCGGGTGTCTCAGGTTGATCAGTGGAGTACAGACGAGAGAGAGAATCGGGCTTGACGTTCTTGGAACCAGGTCTGTAAGAGATAATGAGGTTGAAACGGGAAAAGAATAATGACCATCTAGAGTGACGTGGGTTGGATCGTTTTGCCGATTGGAGATAAGCCAGGTTTTTGTGGTCTGTCCAAACCAATACTGGATGCTCGGCCCCCTCGAGCCAGTGTCTCCATTCCTCCAGGGCGAGTTTAATGGCAAGAAGTTCTCGGTCTCCAACATCATAATTTTGCTCCGCTGGTGAGAGTCTGCGTGAAAAAAATGCACAGGGGTGAGTTTTCTGGTCTGAGTCAGATTGTTGTGATAAAACAGCTCCAACACCGGAGTCAGATGCGTCCAACTCTAAGATACACTGCTTAGAGGGATCTGGGTGGATAAGAATGGGTGCTCTGGAAAACAGGTTTTTTAATTTATCAAAAGCGTTCTGGGCTTCAGGTGTCCATTGAAAAGTCTTCTTCACAGAAGTCAGAGTTGTGAGAGGTAGAGCTGTTTGACTGTAGTTTCTTATGAAGCGTCTGTAGAAGTTTGCAAACCCAAGAAATCTCTGAAGCTGTTTGCGGTTTTCAGGAGTCGGCCAGTCCAGAACTGCCTTTATCTTGTCTTCGGATGGCTTCACCTGCCCGCCCTCGAGCACAAACCCTAAAAAAGTGACAGATGGTTGGTGAAATTCACATTTTCTGCTTTCACAAAGAGTTTGTTTTCCAAAAGTCTCTGAAGAACTAGACGAACATGTTTCTTGTGATCAGAGAGGTTCTTGGAGTAGATCAAAATATCATCGATGTACACAAAAACGAATACGTTCAAAAAATCTCTGAGGACGTCGTTGACTAGAGCTTGGAAGCAAGCAGGAGCGTTTGTGAGACCAAAAGGCATGACCAAATACTCAAATTGGCCTAAGGGGGTCTTAAAGGCTGTCTTCCATTCATCTCCTTCTCTTATTCTAAGGAGGTGATATGCGTTTCTCAAATCGAGTTTAGTGAACACTGTTGCACCCTGAACAGGTTCAAAAGCTGATGCCAGTAATGGTAGGGGGTACTTATTTTTGACGGTTATATATTTAAAACTCTGTAGTCTATACAGGGTCGTAGGGAACCATCTTTTTTACCCACAAAAAAGAAACCAGCACCAAGAGGAGATGAAGATGGACGAATAATTCCAGCAGCTAGAGACTCATTGATATTTTTTTCCTTGGTCTCGCGTTCGGGTTTGGAGATGTTGTATAGTCTACTGCTGGGAAGGGGGGCTCCTGGTAGTAAATCTATGGCGCAGTCATATGGTCTGTGAGGTGGAAGAGACGTCGCACTGACCTTACTGAAGACTGGAGCCAGATCATGATACTCGGGAGGGACAGAAGTGAGGTCAGGAGAGTCCTTCTCCCCCCTACCTCTAGGGGACTGAATAGCAGGAGCCGCAGAATGAAGACATGACTCGTGACAGGAAGTGGACCAAGACTCAATATGGCGTTCAGCCCAGTTGATATGGGAGTTATGACGTTCCAGCCACTCGAATCCCAGCACCAGAGGGGAGCATGCAGAAGGAAAAACAAAAAACGTTAATGTTTCACGATGGTTTCCAGAGATCAAAAGTTCTAGAGGTTGTGTCTGATGAGTGACTTGATGAAGCTTCTTTCCATCAATAGCAGATACTCTGAGGGGCTTAGATAAAGGGACAGTCTCAATATTTA